TATTGATCACTTGACCTTCAAAAGGTTGTATGCCCTTCATAACCTAAACATTTTTGGTATTCCTCACTGAGGTACTTTAACTGGCCATTGCGTGGTCATGCAACACTGTACCCAAATGAAATTGATACCAATTTTTTTCACACAAATAGATAACTTAACCTTCGAAAAGTTGTAACCCTTCATGACCTAGAAATGTTTTGCTATTCTGCACTGTGGTACTTTAACTGGCAATTGTGTGGGCATGCAACACTGTACCCAAATGAAATTGATATCAATTTTGTTCACACAAATAGATCATTTGACCTCTGAAAGGCACGATTAGCAAAAAACTTCTAGGTCATGAAGGGGGTACAACCTTTTCGGAGGTCAAGTGATCTTTTTGTGTGAAAAAAATTGATATAAATTTAATTTGGGTACAGTGTTGCATGTTCACACAATTGCCAGTTAAATTAAATTTATATCAATTTTTTTCACACAAAAAGATCACTTGACCTCCGAAAAGGTTGTACCCCCTTCATGACCTAGAAGTTTTTTGCTAATCATGCCTTTCGGAGGTCAAATGATCTACTTGTGTGAAAAAAATTGATATCAATTTCATTTGGGTACAGTGTTGCATGCCCACGCAATTGCCAGTTAAAGTACCACAGTGCAGAATAGCAAAAAAATGTATTTTGCTAGTTAAAGTACCACAGTGCCTGTGGTACTTTAACTGGCAAAATAAATTGTGGTCATGCAACACTGTACCCAAATGAAATTGATATAAATTTTTTCACACAAATAGATCACTTGACCTCTGAAAGGTTGTACGTCCTTCATGACCTAGACATTTTTTGCTATTCGGCACTGCATATTTTATCTGGCCATTGCGTGGTCATGCAACACTGTACCCAAATAAAATTGATATCAATCTTTTTCACATAAATAGAACTTTCTTTTGGTGGTATTTGATCACCACTGGGTTTTTTTACTTTATATTATATAAAAATGAAAAAAGACCGAACATTTTGGAAAAAAAAATTTTTACTTTCTATTATAAAACATTTCCAATAAAAAAAATGAAAAAAACAACTTTTTTCATAAATTTAGGCCAAAATGTATTCTGCTAAAAGTCTTTGGTAAAAGAAAAACAAAATAATCCCAATAAATGTATATTAACCTCTTGGCACCGGCCGTACACATATATGCGGCGCTGTTAAAACAGCTTACCATGCTGAGAGCGTGCTCCCTGCACACTTCCAGCAGGGGTAGCAGGCTACCTTGTGCATACTTGTGATCGGGAGCCTTCCGATCATGTGACCACTGGGACAGCCAATCACAGCGGTCACATGACCTGAATGTCCTCCTCCGCCTCCCTGCTTTTAGAACTCTTAAAGGGCCAGGAGGCAGTCGGTGCAAAAGGGTTAATTGGTTTGTGTGAAAGTTATAGCATCTATAAAAAATGGTATATATACTGGAATTTATGCAGGTGTGATGTTATACTGGTAATGGCGGTATAGTGTGACTGTGATAGTGTGGAGGGCAATCAGGCGCTAACTGATGCTGGCTGGAAAATACACTTACTGACCAATAGAGAAACTTATAAAGTGAGCAGTGCTAATACTGTACACATAAGCAGACCTGGAAGAAGCCAGTCACACATATATACATGAGTGAGCTATCCCGTGCCACCCAGCCTCAGTAAATATGCTGTAGCAGGGCGGCAAGAGGTTAATGATCTTTATTTGCCATTTCACAGACACGCACAGTTTTAGCCCCTGTTCACACTAGGGCAGCAATGGGCAAACTACGGCCCGCGGGCCGTATACGGCCCGGCGGACCTTTTAATTTGGCCCGCGGAGCGTGATACTGTCAGGATGGCTGTCAGGATGTGTGTAGGCGGGGCAGCGTGACGAACGTGAGGGGAGGAGAGCTAGGCTCCTCTCACAGTCCGCCCTGAAGACCGGAACGGCGCAGGAACATGGCTGGAGGAACGCGCGGAGCAAAGGTAAGTAAATTGAATTACTATAGGGGGGATGAATTACTATATGGGGGATGAATTACTATAGGGGGGATGAATTACTATAGGGGGGATGAATTACTATGGGGGATGAATTACTATATGGGGGATGAATTACTATGGGGGATGAATTACTATGGGGGATGAATTACTATATGGGGGATGAATTACTATGGGGGATGAATTACTATTACTACGGGGGATGAATTACTATACGGGGGATGAATTACTATATGGGGGACTAATTACTATGGGGGATGAATTACTATATGGGGGATTAATTACTATGGGGGATGAATTACTATATGGGGGATGAATTACTATATGGTGGATTAATTACTATGGGGGATGAATTACTATGGGGGATTAATTACTATGGGGGAGGAATTAATATGGGGGATGAATTACTATGGGGGATTAATTACTTTATGGGGGATGAATTACTATGGGGGATTACTATGAATGAATTACTATGGGGGGATGAATTACTATATGGGGGATGAATTACTATGGGGGATGAATTACTATGGGGGATGAATTACTATATGGGGGATGAATTACTATGGGGGATGAATTACTATGGGGGATGAATTACTATGGGGGATGAATTACTATATGGGGGATTAATTACTATGCTTACTATGGGGGAATATTACTATACTTACTATGGATGACACATAAACATCATTCATCTACTCTTGGTCCTGCCCCCGGGTCCAATATATGAACCCATTGCGGCCCTCAAGTCAAAAAGTTTGCCCACCCCTGAACTAGGGCATGGTGCAATCAGTAGGCATTTCCCGCACCACATTCAAAGCATACTGCCCTTGAGATCTGCAGCAGGTGTCAGTGCAATCCTAACGACACTCCAGAAGTAGGTCGCAAACACAGTGCGTTTGCCTGCACTGGATCACATGGTACAAAACCACCATGTGATCTGGTTGTAGTGAGTTTCTAAAATTGGTGCATGCTCAAAATGAGAAGTGACTCAAATCACACCGCACTGAATTACACAGGAATGGTCTGCCATTCCTGTGCGATTCATAGGCGATTCAGCCTGTGAATCCAAGGGTAAAGCTTAACATGATTGGTATTGATATTGATATGATATGTATTTTTTACATACTGTATGAAAAAAAAAATTGGTACATAAGACTTAAAAAATGAACGACACGCATGCAAAAAGATCGCTTGATGCGCCACACACTTGATGCCGATTGCACGCAAATATGCGGCCGCTCGGCGTCTGGGCCTTGACACCGAGCGGCCGCATATTTGCGTGCAATTAGAAAATACATATGTGCTGTGACCGCTGCGACGGCGATCTTGGATGGATGATTATCTAGCTTTTTTAGTTGCTAAACTTTGCAACATGCAGCTACCTACAAAAAAAACGAATAAAAAGTACATCTAAAGTAATATATATATATATATATATATATATATATATATATATATATATATATTACTTAATTAATTATAAAAAAGAGAATAAAAAGAAGATTACTGCTAGGTGGAAGTGCTATTTAGCCACTGTGCTGCCCCATATCTTTGAAATATATTTGAAATGCTACAATTTTGGCCAATATATATATATATATATATATATATATATATATATATATATATATATATATATATATATATATATATATAATTTTTTTTTTTAATTAATTATAAAAAAGAGATTAAAAAGAAAAAAAATCACCATATTTACAATTATAATATCCAAACTGAGACATCTTAAGTTCACTGTGCCTACTTAGTAGAAGCATGTGTAGATTCGTGCAGCAGTTTTCTCTATAGCAGTCCTCGTTAGTATAGTGGTAAGTATCCCCGCCTGTCACGCGGGAGACCGGGGTTCGATTCCCCGACGGGGAGGCTCAATAATTTTTGTCCCTTCCTTACGATCTCTAACCTCTAGTTATTTATGTTATCGTTCTTCTCCCAGAAAAAAGTCTGTATTTTGCAGTAAGCTCAATTTTAACATTTTACCTTCTTCAGTTTTTTTCATTTCCTGAAGGGGAGGTTTGTTCCTCATGTGTTAGCAATGCATACAGAAGGGAAGGGAATGTACAGTATTTCAAATTCAACACAGTTTTTTTTGGCAGCAGATAAAAGAGTCCAGTCATGTAGACCATAGAGATCATTTATTATCTGGGGCTCAGTGCACTGCAAGCATCATTGTATTGAATGTGAGAGATATTTCCTCCACAGGCACACCCATCTGTGATGAGTGGAGCGCACTGTAAAATCTACATTCTTTTATACTGATTTTCAAAGCAAAATTCAGCGTCGGAATACCTGCTTGTCTTCTGAGAGTGTATTTATACAGTCCATAATATCACAAATGTACAGTCACTGCATTTAACTACTTGCTGTCCGTGACAATTTTTACAATTTTCTGAAAGAAGGACCATGGAGAAGAAAATATTGGCTGTTGCAATTCGTGTATGTTGCGTGAGTTTGTGCAGATTTTCAGAAAAAAAATATACTAAAATGAACGTTAGTGCACACAAACACAATACAAACCCCAGTTTCTTGGTAAAATGTTCACCATTTGCCGTCCAGTGGATTTACCCCCCTTCCTGACCAGGCCATTTTTTTTAGATACTGCGCTGCACTACTTTAACTGACAATCATGCGGTCATGCAACGCTGCACCCAAGTTACATTTACGTCCTTTTTTCCCCCACAAATGGATCTTTCTTTTGGTGGTATTTGATCGCCTGTGCGGTTTTTATTTTTTGTGCTATAAACAAAAAAATTCGAATTTTGAAAAAAAACTATAATTTTTAATTTTTGCTATTAAACATTTCCAGGAAAAAAAAAAAAATCTAATTTCATAAATTAAGGCCAAACTGTATTCTGCGACATGTCTTTGCTAAAAAAACAAAAGTCCCAATACGTGTAAATTAATTGGTTTATGTGAAAATTATAGCGTTTTCAAATGGCAGTACACATACTGGAATTTTTTGTTTTGTTTTTACTAGTAATGGCGGCGATCAGCGACTTATAGTGGGGATTCTGACACTGGGGGGGGGAAATAACCTGGTGTCACTGACATCCCCAGTGACATTAATACCGTGATCAGTGCTATTAAACAGCACTGACACTGTACTAATGGCACTGGGCAGGAAGGGGTTAACATGTGGGGTGATCAAAGGGTTAACTGTGTGCTGTTTTACTATGGAGGCTGTGTGTGTGTTTCACTGTAAGCACACTGCTTTGTATGGCTCTGCTATGCTACTGGGACTCGAGAGTGACTGGAGAACAGTTGTTGTTCAAGTGCACGTGGTGTATCTTCACCTCTGAAAGTAGAGTCCGGCCTTAAAGTTGAGATTTCCCTGATGGCAACCTCAGCCTTTTCCTAGGACATTAGTGCAAATGGCACAGAGTACAGGTACTCCGTGTGTGAAGTAGAGCGATATGGTCTCAGATACCTACTTAGCTTACAAGAGCCCACCCCAGTGTAGGCCTCTCATGTGACCCAGATTTGTTAACTGGGAAACATGGAGTAAATTACCATCATCCCTACCCACCTACCCCAAACATAGATGACACTTTAAATGCCTTTATAGGTGATCAGTTTAGTGTAGGGGTCCTCAAACTTTTTAACCAGGGGGGCCAGTTCATGGACCTTCACACTGTTGGGGGGTCGGACTAAAGTTTGAAAAAAATATGAACAAATTCCTATGCACACCACACATATCTTATTTTGTACTGCAAAAAACATGAAAAAACAATACAATATTTAAAATGCACTGTACTCTGTAACGTACTGGACACCACAATGCACTGGATAATAATGGGGGTGGGGGCTTGGTACAGTAATGGGAGGCTGAGGTTATTAATGGTAGTGGGGGATGAGGGCAGTAATAGGGGTGGGGGCTGAGGTTTGTAAAGGGGGGTTGAGGACAGTAATGGGGTAGGAGATGAGGAAAGTAATGGGGGGAAGGGGGGGAAGTAATGGGGGGAAGCTGAGGTCAGTAATGGGGGGAAGCTGAGGAAATCTATCTATCTAGAAAAGAATCCAGGCCTTTTTTAAAGCAATCCACTGAGCTGGCCAGAACCAACTCTTGAGGGAGTCTATTTCACATTTTCACAGCTTTCACTGTGAAGAAACCTTTTTGTGTTTGGAGATTAAATTTATTTTCCTCCAGACGTAAAGAGTGCCCCCTTGTCTTCTGTGATGACCTCAGGGTGATGAACTCTACACCGAGTTCACTATATGAACCACTGATGTATTTATACATGTTGATCATATCTCCTCCCTTAATCTCCTCTTCTCAAGAGAGAATAAATTCAGTTCCTCTAATCTTTCCTCATAGCTGAGCTCCTCCATGCCTCGTATCAGTTTGGTTTCCCTTCTCTGTACTTTCTCCAGTTCCCCAATGTTCTTTTTGTGAATTGGTGCCCAAAACTGAACTGCATATTCCAGATGAGGTCTTACTAATGATTTGTACCGGGGTAATATGATATCTCCCTCTCCGGAGTCTATACCTCTTTTATTACAAGAGAGGATTTTGCTCGCTTTAGAAACCGCAGCCTGGCATTGCATGCCATTATTAAGCTTGTGATCTACCAGAACTCCCAGATCCTTCTCCACCATTGATTCCCCAGTTGTACCCCCCTAGTATGTATGATGCATACATATCCTTAGCCCCCAAGTGCAGAACCTTACATTTATCAACATTAAACCTCATTTGCCACATAGTTGCCCAATTAAACAGTGCATTGAGGTCGGCTTGTAATTTGGAGACATCCTGTAAGGATGCTATTCTACTGCACAGCTTGGTGTCATCTGCAAGGACCAAAATGAGATTTTAAATCCCAGACCCTATATCGTTTATAAATATATTAAAAAGTAAGGGTCCCAACACTGAACCTTGGGGTACACCACTGACAACCCTAGACCATGCAGAGTATGAATCATTAACCACTACTCTTTCAATACGATCTTTTAGCCAGTTTTCTATCCATTTACATACAGATTTTTTCAAGCCTGTAGACTTTACCTTACACATTAGCCATGTGTGGGGAACTGTGTCAAACGCTTTTGCAAAATCCAAGTATACCACGTCTACCGTCACCCCACTGTTTAAGGTTTTGCTCACCTCCTCATAAAAAGAAATCAGATTTGTTTGACAACTTCTGTGTTTCATGAATCCATGCTGTCTGTTGCTTAAAATATTTTTTTCCAGCAAGAACTCATCTATGTGGTCTTTTATTAAACTCTCCAGTATCTTCCCAACTATAGAAGTTAAACTAACAGGTCTATAATTACTTGGTAAAGATTTTGACCCCTTTTTTTAAATATTGGCACCACATTGGCCTTATGCCAATCCAGTGGTACTATGCCAGTCATTAAAGACTCCCTAAAATTTAGAAACAATGGCTATGAAATGACAGAGCTCAATTCTTTAAGGATGCATGGGTGTATGCCATCTGGTCCTGGTGCTTTATTCACCTTTATTCTGTCTAAATATTTTTGGATCATATCAATTGTGAGCCAATGCGGATCATCTGGAGCTGTGTCAATACCATGCCCATTATGGACAAGAGCTCCCCCATACTCCTTTGTATACACAGAGCTGAAGAAGATATTTAATAAATTTGCCTCCTATTTGTCCCCAGTCACCCATTCTAGATTATTTTGTAAAGGGCCTACATGCTCGGACCGGACCTTTTTACTATTAATATATTTGAAGAATTTTTAGGGGTTGGTCCTGCTATCTTTTGCAATCTGTCGTTCGTTTTCAATTTTTGCAGCCTTTATTTTGTTTTTGCATATTTGTAATGTTTAAACCATGATAGCGTTCCTTCATTTTTATATTTAATAAAAGCTCTTTTTTATTATCTATAGCTTTTTTAACTCTGGCCGTAAGCCACGTAGGTTTGATTTTTAGCCTTTTAAACTTGTTGCCCATGGGAATATATTTTGCAGTGTGTGCACATACAGTCTTTTTGAAGAACTCCATTTCTGTGTTGTGTTCATTGATGCTAATATTCCTTTCCAGTCTAAGTCTTGGAGAGCAGCTCTCAGCTTTGGAAAATTAGCTCATTTAAAATTGAGAGTTTTTATTTTTCCCGTATTTGCTTTCTGTTTACATTTAACAATAATCAAATCATGTTATGGTCACTGCTACCCAGATGTTCTTTTATATGGACATTCGTAATAAGTTCTGCATAGTTGGAGATTACCAGGTCCAACAGAGCATCATTCCTAGTAGGGGCCTCTATGAACTGTACCATAAAATTGTCCTGTAGTAGGTTTAAAAAATTTTGCCCTTTAACTGTTCCTGCAGTACCATTACTCCAGTCAATTTGTGGGTAGTTAAAATCCCCCATTATTATCACTGTCCCAGCCCTTGCAGCCCTTTTGATCTGTTCAAGGAGCTGAGTCTCCACCTCCTCATTAACACTGGGATGCCTATAACAAACTCCAATGATTACTTTTGTAGTACGTACCCCATGTACAGTTCCACCCATAATACTTCAGCCTCATCACACTTTCCATCAACTAGGTCCTCTTTCACACTCGCTCTGAGATCACTTCTCACATAGAGACAAACACCACCATCTTTCCTATTTACCCTGTCTCTCCGAAAGAGAACATAGCCAGGAATATTAATGGCCCAGTCATGGGAAGAATGAAGCCAAGATTCAGCAATACCAATTAAATCATAGTTCTCTTCATGCACCAAAGCTTCAAACTCACCTATTTTGCTTGGCAGACTTCTGGCATTGATGAACAAACACTTTAATTGATTGACACCCTGTACACACGTATTTTGCATATTTTTTATTTTCATACAAATGGTACCAATTCCACTGGTTGTTTGTAACATGGAAACATTTTTATCTGCCATAGCCTTACCCCCATCTTTCCCCATTCCACCCACCAAGTAGTACTGACCCCTGTCTGATCTGTCTACCCCGTTATAATCTAATTCTCCCTCCCTCGATCCTAGTTTAAATACTCCTCCAACCTTCCCATAAACCTCTCCCCTAGCACAGCAGACCCCCTTCCATTTAGGTGCCAACCATCTCTATCATATAGGTTCCACCCCAATGAAAAGTCAGCCCAGTGCTCTAGAAACCCACATCATTTCCCTTGACTGTGATGTGAAGACGGGACTGAGGATGCTGATATAAAAACAGGATTGTGCTATGAGGCTCAGTTCAGATGTGCGAATATGTGTTTGCACACACACATCGTGTTTATGGTAGCCCATTTATTTTAATAGGCTGCCCTACCCTCGAGAATCACAGGAAAAGAAGTCCCAACTCTTTTTTTTAAATAACACCACTGCAAGTCACATGTGGGTGCCATTAAGAATTATGTAGCTCATTTCTTTAAGGGTCAGCAATGCATGCATTTGGACGCATGTTCCCCAGCCACAGAGATGTGAACCTAGCCTAAGAGGAAGTAGGGGCTGTGATGTGAAGGATCTGGGTCATCATACCAATGATTCGGACCTCTGCTGGAAGAATATTTTACTGACTCGACCTCTGTGTATTTTAATTCAATGCCCCTGGTTTTGAAATAATAATGAATAATGGCCCTAGAATTTTGTTGCCACACCAATGCTTGCGGCAATACCTCACATGTGTGGTGTGATCACTGTTTACATATGTGTGCCAGACCAATGCCAAATCATGTCTGCATTTCCATGTATGGGAGGCTGTGGGTGCTTTTAATTTTTACTTTAGTTTTTATACACTTTTTTCATTAAACTTTATTACCCTTACAAGAGGTCTAACAAACCCCCTTGTGTTAGCTTTGGGCAGTGACAATTTCTCTATATGGAGACATCAGGCGTCTATTAGAACCCTATGTTTCCCCTGCCCTCCAAAGCTTATAACCAGACTATGCTTGGTTAACTGCATGCCAGCTGTAAAACCAGAAATTGAAAAAATCATCTCTTCTGGGTTCATTGGTCACAGATTAATTCGGGAAATGGATGTTTTCCTCTGCGGGAACCCAGCAAAAGGGGGAGGGGGGAAGCCCTTCCCAGTGTTATAAAAGTGATCACTTTTACAAAACAGCCAATCAACAGCTGAAAAAAATGTACCACGGTCATGGCTGCAGCCAAGATCTTGTAATAGCCACTCACAGCCAATCACAATGGTCACATGAACCAAATGCTCACGGATTTTAGCGTTCTTAAAGGACCAGGAGGCGGTCAGTGCAAATAGGGTTGAAACCACCAACACAGCTGTTTCTGTTTCAATTACTGTTTCAA